AACCAAAAGAGAGCCACTCTGGATAGCCCATCGCATTTTTGTGATCCTCCTCAGCTGACTGCTCATCCTTCAATTTACCCACCAGCTTATAGTAAACGATTCTCACACAGAAACCAGCGGGATTGATGTAGCAAATAATCTAGCCTGTCACCGAACCGACCAAAGCCAAGAACACTTTCACATCTGGTAGATATACGGCGACGACTAGAGCGAGCGAAACCGAAACGGAAGTGGTAGCCGGTCCGAACTATCGATTAAGTTTGGTACGACCAGTGATGCCCTTGATGGTATCTATCATAGCTGCTCTTAAGGGGTAGATATTGAGGGGGGATGCAGCCAATACTGCAATACCCATGAAGATGAAAGCAACAGTGACGAAGCTGTTGCCGTGAAGAAAGTCCTCTCGTATGCTCTGGACGACACTCGCTTTCGTGATGCTCCCGTATGTCAAAAACCCACAAGTTCCAACGGCGACATACACCACGAAGCAAAGAACGACCGACGCGAAAGAGACGTGGCGGAGGTGCTTCTCATTGGAGGGGTGCATCTCGGAGTAAATGTGGGGAACATTCACTTGGCAGACATAGGCGAAGATATAGGCTGATGCTGCACTGATCACGCCTGTGAAGCCTCTACTGGGCCAGAGGTACGTCGAAACGGTGTTCACAGGGCTGGAGAAGACACCATGCTTGATGAGCAATTTGCTCATCAGGGTGTCTGAGAAACTTTCCACAGAAACTTTCGCAGAAAATTTCCGTGAAAGTTTCCAAATTTTTCCGCGAGTGAAATTTTTCAGGAAACTTTTGCTGAGTGTGCATTTTCGACGTTAGCGACCTCTTATTCATCTCATACAGCCTCATGATTGTTAGAATGAAAGAGTCGCTTAGCTACTCTGACCCAGCATGTCTCGAATAAAGGAAATACCTCGCTTCATGTTAAAACGTCAAGTACTGGGCGAAGAATCTCGATTTAGCCAGACCTCTTAGAGAATAATTGTTTCACACTAGATTACTCAGTATGTCTTCCATAGGTGGGCAGTCTTTCGCGGGCCCTGGCCAGGCGAGACAGTCAGGGACTCTGATCCAACATGGAATGGCAATGACATTACCATTGTCAGCTGATGATCGGCTCGAAATGAGCCGCTGTAATGTATATTCTACACTGAGCCATCCCAACTTCTACAATATAGAATCTTTCCAATGAAAGTTTGAATGGAAGCTCCCACTTCAAGGCCTTTCCAAAGGGAGTCTACTGATTTCAAACTAAGTAGTCCTCCGAATCTAAGCTAGGGGTGGAATACGATGATCTGGAATCCCGTCATGTGCAGCGCGGCGCCACTGGCGTCATGATGCAGGATAATGGAGTAATCGAACGAGTTACTGTTGACGGTCGCCGGTATATGAATTCACTCGCACATGTGACCAACACGATCCGCGGCAAATTCGTACTAGTTGATTTAGCAAACAGAGAGTACTCAAATGCAATATGATGCCCACGGAG